TCCTAGGTCAATGCTCAACTGCTGAGCCACGCCCCACCGGGCATGGGTAGATTCTTGAGGAATCTGCTAGGGAATGAATTTCCAACCATCCAATGACCTGGGAGATTTGGATGTAAAGACTATGGTTGAACGTTAAATACATAGTTACACAGGGGACTAAGACCAGATGAGGGTTATAAGGAAGTAAATACAGTAGTCATGGCTATAGGTACTACAATTATTTTTTACTTAGGAGGAAACTGGGGAGAGCAAATACACAAAAATAGTTTTAATCTCATTGGCCTTAGTCCACTGCTGCTTTATCCTGGGACTTTTACGTGCGTGATGTAGGATAAAGCAAGTAAATGCTCATGCGATAGTCTAGTTCTGCTCTTCTCTATAAGCCTTGAGAATTATTCTGTGCGGAAGAAAAGATTTAGGACAGAAGAGGCTAAATAAAAATCTTACAGTCTTGAATTTGAATCGAAAGCATTAATTTGGGCTCACGAGGTTTTTCTTAATGTATTTTTCCTAATTCTGTCTACTGACAAGGCATAGGAACAGTGACCGAGCCGGTAGCAATGAGAGCCCCAGCCCTGAGGGCGGCCTTGGGTGACAGTTACATGTGTTTGCCTTATAATAATTCTTTACTGTAAGCCTAAGTTTTATGTGGTTTCTATATCTGTGTTATATATAACATATAAAGTAAAAATTAAAAAGAAGCCAGGGTAGCGATTAATTTTAGAGAGAGGAGTTCAAAGAAGGCATGAAGGTGGCCTTGTCCTTTTTGGCCTAAGTGGTGAGTGTATGGGTGTGTGTAAAAACGTGCCAGAATAAACATCCATGACTTGTTCACTCTTCTGTTTGTATGTTTTACTTCAGTAATAAAAGTTATTTTAAAAATAAAAGGAAGAAAGCATAAGCGAGTCTTCCTTAGCCACTGCCTAATTTACCCTTCATTTATTATTTTAGGAAATGTTGCCTTTTGGTCTCATCTGTGTGGTGGGAGAAATACATAGTTTCATACTCGATTTAGAAAGAGTCCAGATGCTGTTACATTATTTAGTTGGCGCTGTGGGGAAGTGTTGCTTAACGAGAGGCCTTCAGTGCCAGAAATTTCTTTGCAATCTATCATGTTAAACAGCGATGATTTGTGTTTTAAATTTTGCCGAATGCTTTCTGTGGTACTATCTGCATTCTCATTGCAAACCATGAGAGCTATCTGCAGGGAATCTGGGCCTTTCCTGTTTCTCGTTTCCTTCATTTGGGCAGATAACATCACAGTGTATAGAGAGAGGACCCAGTTATTTCCAAATCCATAGATTTATCGGGGCTGGGAAATGTCAAATCAGCACCTGAATAAATAAAACACGAGCCCATTAGTGCAAGCTTATGTGACCTGTCAGCATCATTAGGCTTTGCTGCGCACAGAAAGCCAGCTGGTGTGAGGCCCTTAATAATGATGGCATCTCTCGAGAGAGCCTAACAAATCCAGGCTTTGCTTTTTGAATAAGCATTCTGGTGTTTATTTTCCAGGCAAGGGTCTCACTTCGTTTTCAGTTTGCTGTAATTCAAACCCTCCCCTCCTCGGAGTCTTCCCGTCCTGCTGTGAATGGGTACACCCAGCTAGGTTCCACGGTGGAACTCAATCCCTCGGACCTAACACATGTAACGACTCAGAAGTCACAGCATCTTCACCAGACCTCACATCCCTGAGGCTGGTGTTCTCAAAGGTAACCTCTGCAGGGACCCCCTTAATATTTACTACCTGAGCTTGTATTGTAAAGCTAACTGTGGAAGAAAAGGGGCCACATGCTGAACCTGACTAGCTCAGGGAAGGCCTGCATGCATGGTGGCCTTGCAAACTCAGAGACCTAAAATAACCACAAAGGATGGTCTGAAATTAAAACCTTTTAACTAAAAAAGCAGTTTATGGTGGGTAGTCATGTCCTAGGCTGGTATCTTCCCTGACAAAGGTCAACCTTTTACCTAAACTGAGCCTGTCTATTGCCTTTTTGCAACGATAACATGTCGTTGGACCGTCAAGGTAATTTTCCTTTTTCTGGACCCCTCAAAGCACAGGCACGGCTCTGCAGAGACCACGAATCCCCTCATTTGATTGAGTTAGTTGTTGACTGTTAACTGTCCTGCACCCACCTAAGTAAAAGAAGTGTGTCTATCATTTTACTTTTTATCCAATCCCAGAGATTTCCCCGCCCTGCTTTCTCCCACCTCCCTAATCTGTCACCAGAGAATTTCTTGTAACACACTTACAACTCCTCTTTTGATTGTAATGTATAAAACAAAGTGTAAAACTGCCATTCTTCGGAGCATTAGTTCAATTCGTTGAGGTTTTGGCTTCCAGGCAATTGTAGACAGTTTGGCTCAAATAAACTCACAAAATTCTTCACAGATTTGAATGATTTCTTACGTTAACATAACGAGTTTATTCTCTCAAACAAAGCGGTCCAGGTCAGGGCACATACCCAGGCCGCAGGTTCGACCCCCGGTCGGGGTGAGTGTGGGAGGCAACCGATCAACGTTTCTCTCCTACATCAATGTCTCTCTCTCCCTCTCCCTTCCTCTCTATCTAAAATCAATAAAAACATTTAAAAGAAATAAATAAATTAAAATTTAAAAATTTAAAAACCAATGTACATACAGCAAAATAGAGGCAGACTCATAGNTGGTCGGGGTGGGTGCTGGAGTCAACCGATCAATGTTTCTCTCTTACATCAATGTCTCTCTCTCCTTCTCCCTTCCTCTCTCTCTAAAATCAATAAAAACATTTAAAAGAAATAAATAAATTAAAATTAAAAAATTTAAAAACCAATGTACATACAGCAAAATAGAGGCAGACTCATAGAGAACAGGCTGACAGCTGTCAGGGGAGGGGGACAGGGTAGAGAAACTGAGCAAAAAATGAAAAAAACAACAACAAAACCTCATAGACATGGAGGACAATGTGGTGGTTATCAGGGGGAGGGGAGATGAGGGAAGGTTGAGGAGGGTACAGAGGGGATAAATGGTGATAGAAGGAGACTTGCCTCGGGGTGGTGAGCACACAATACAGTGTACAGATGATGTGTTGTGGAATTGTGTACCTGAAACCTGTATAATTTTGTTAACCAGTATCACCCCAATAAATTCAATAAAAAGAAAATAATAATAAAAATATAAAAATAAAATAAAATAAAAATACTTTATTGCTAAAAAATGCTAACCATCACCTGAGCCCTCATGAGTAGTAATCTCTTTGCTGCCGGAGGATCTTGCTTCCATGCTGACGGCTGCTGTCTGATCAGGGTGGGGGCTGCTGAAGGTTGGGTGGCTGTGACAATGTCTTAAAATAAGACAACATTGAAGTAGATTGTATCGATTGGCAATTTCTTTGTAGCATGTGATGCTGCTTGATAGCATGTTACCCACCATACAACTTGTTTCAACGTTGGGGTCAGTCCTCTCAAACTCTGCCACCACTTTATCGACTAAGTGTGTGCAAGGTTCTAAATCCTTTGTTGTCGTTTCAACTCTTCACAGCATTGCCACCAGGAGTGGAGTCCATCTCCAAAAACCACTTTCTTTGTTCATCTGTAAGAAGTAGCCCCTCAACTGTTTATGTTTGATCATGAGATTTCAGCAATTCAGTCACATCCTCAGGCTCCACTTCTAATTCTCATTCTCTTGCGATTTCTACCACGTCCGCAGTTACTTCCCCCACTGAAGTCTCGCCCCTCTCAAAGTCATCCAGGAGGTTTGGAACCAATTTCTTTTAAACTCCTATTAATGTTGATATTTTGACCCTTTCATGAATCACAAGTGTTCTTAATGGCATCTATAATGGTGAATCCTCTCCAGAAGGTTTCAATTTACTCTGCCTAGATCCATCAGAGGAATCACTATCTATGGCAGCTATAGCCTTATGAAATGCATTTCTTAAATAATAAAACCTGAAAGTCGAAATTATTCCTTGATCCATGAGCTAAAGAATGGATATTGCACNATAATAAAACCTGAAAGTCAAAATTATTCCTTGATCCATGAGCTAAAGAATGGATATTGCACTAGCCTGCATGAAAACAATATCAATCTTGTCGTATGTCTCCATCAGAGAGCTCTTGGGTGACAAGGAGCGTTGTTAGTGAGCTGTAATATTTTGAAAGGAATCTTTTTTTCTGAGCAGTAGGTCTCAACAGTGGGCTTAAAATAGTCAGTAAATCATGTTCTAACAGATGTGCTGTCATCCAGGCTTTGTTGTTTCATCTACAGTATAGGGCAAAGGCAGAGTAGATTTTGCATAATTTAAGGGTCCTAGGATTTTGGGAATGGTAAATGAGCATTGGCTTCAACTTAAGGTCACCAGCTGCATTAGCCCCTAACAAGAGAGTCAGCCTGTCCACTGAAACTTTGAAACCAGGCACTGACTTCTCTCTAGCTATGAGAGTCCTAGATGGCATCTTCTTCCAATTTAATGCTGTTTCATCTACACTGGAAATCTGTTGTTTAGTATAGTCACCTTCATTAATTGTCTTAGATAGATCTAGGTAACTTGCTGCAGCTTCTGTATCAGCACTTGCTGCTTCACCTTGCAGTTTTATGTTGTGGAAATAGCTTATTTCCCTAAACTTCACTCTTCTGAAAGAATATATGCACAAAATTTTTCATTGCAAGGTTGTTTGTAATAGGAAAGAACTGAAATTGACTCAAATATCCATCAATAGAGTACAGTGATTAAATTACAATAATCCAATAGAATATTGTGTGGCATTTTTTACAAAAGGAAAGTTTCTGTGTACTGCTTCAGAAAAATCTCTGATATATTAAGTTCACTAGGGCTACTATACCAAAGTACCACAAGCTACGTGTCTTAAAACGATAGAAACTTATTGTCTTACAGCTTTGGAGGCTAGAAGTCCAATATCAAGGTGTTGGCAGGGCCATGCCTCCTCTAAAGCCTCAGGGAGAGGCTTGCTTCCTCCAGCTCCTGTTGGTGGTCAGCAATCCTCGGCATTCCTTGGCTTGCAGCTGTATCATTTCAAATTGTTTGTCACCACAAGGCGTTATCTCTATATGTCTCTGTCCAAATTTCCCTCTTCTTATAAGGACACCAGTCATATTGGATTAGAGTGAACTCTCATAACCTCATCTTAACTGGATTACATCTTCAAGCACCTTATTTCCAAATGAGGTCCCATTCACAGGCCCTGGGGTTTAGGGCTGGCTTCAACATATCTTTTGGGAGGACACATTTCAACCTAGAATAGTGCAGAATAGTATAGTACGCTGCCTTTTGTGTAAGAAAAAGGGGTAAAATACATTGCTAATATTTGTAGAGAAACTCTAGAATAAATCACAAGAAAACAATGTACAGTTTCATTCTGATAAGTGGGACTAGGGCAGGTAAAGGCACAAATAGAAGTAAGATTATATGCTTTCTTACATTGTTATTTTTTAACTAGTGCACATTTGCCTATTCAAAACATAAAACAGTAATTCAAAAAGTCACTGTGAGGTACTGACCTAGTGTGACTTCAGGGGCGCCAACTGCCATGGCTAAGCACACACACCGGTGGCCCGGAGCCAAAGTCGTGCCAACAGCACCCTTCACAAGTCCCCAGGTTCATCGTTCTGATGGGCCCAGCAGCCTCCACACCAGTTCATCAGCAGCAAGAGTCTGAATAGGTGGCAATTCAATATCAGAAGGACATGACAACTGGAGGTATCTTTATGTGGCTTTTCACACTGCAGAGACCTCACCTATTGGTAAGGCTCAGAGGACTTGTTTGTGAGCCCACATCAGATACTCCTGGAAAACTTCTAGAGATCGTTGAAAAGGACTTTGAAAGGAAAACGGCTTACAACAGAGAAATGCTGTTTATTACTGTGAATGTGATCCCTGGGGTTGAGTCCTATCACTTCCCAGCTGTGTCACCTTGGGCCGGTGGCTTAACCTCTCTGTTTCTCTTTCATCAGCTATAAAACAGGGATTCCTTCATACTTCCATTTCTGTACTCCTTCTATAGGCGAGTACGCTTCCCCCACTTCACGTCAGGCTCAACGGTAGGAGCTGTCTGAGGAATTGGAGAGGAAGCGACGGGCAACACGTCTGAGCAGAACTTTGAAGAACCGTTGTACAGTGCAGCCACCGCCCTTCTGTGCTGAGACCAAAGTAGAGGCTGCTCCCTGCCCTTGAAAGCCAGACTGGGGAAGAGCTGCAGGGCCAGAGCCGCCCACACCCAACAGAAATGTGAGTCAGAAATGAACCTTTGTTACTGAAAGCAGGAAAGCGAAAATGTGGGGGCTGCTTGTTATCACAGCCCTACCTCGCCCAAGCTGATTGACGTGTAGTACTAACGCAGAGGGTCGTTGTGAAAACCAAATGAGTTCATTTGTAAGCAATTAGAAGAGTGTCTGGCACAGAGTTAGCACCACAGGCCACCTCATTTCATTGTGCTTCGCAGACACTGCGTTTTTCACAAATCGAAGGTAAGACCCTCCACCAGTAAAAGGATTACAACTCACTAAAGGCTCAGGTGATGGTTAGCATTTTTTAGCAATAAAGTATTTTTCAACTAAGATATGCACATTAATTTTTTTAGACATGCTCTTGCACACTTAATAGAATACAGTATGGTGTGAACAGAACTTTTATATGTACTGGGAAACCAAAACCTATTAGAGGGTAATGGAGGGGAGCCCCCACCTGCCCTGGTCAAGGCCATTTGTTTAGAAATCAGTGTGACCACTAGTCAGCAAGATTGGTAAGAGGTCACAGGACAGTGCCTAGGAGATATGGGGCATAGCCCTACTTCAGCCAGGCAGGTAGAAGGCCTCTCTTTCTTTATCAAAGCTCTGGGTGGTCTCCTCCCAACCCCCCACCTCCAAAGCCAGGACTTCTGCTAAGCACATCACTGACTTACAGGGACACTGGATACTATGACCCGATGACCCAGGAAGCACCACAACTCTTGGTCTTACTGGTGGCCATTTAAAAGAGGCACTTCTGACCCCAACCCCTCACCTCATCACAACTGTGTGTAACTCAAG